CCTGCAAAAAACTGAAACAAGACCCATACCTCACACCATGCACAAAAACTAACTCAAAATGGATCAAAGACCTAAATATAAAATCTAAAATGATAAAGATCATGGAAGAAAAAATAAGGACAGTGCTAAGAGCCTTAACACATGGCATAAACAGAATACAAACCATAAGTAACAATGCACAAACACTAGAAGGGAAACTAGATAACTGGGAGCTCCTAAAAATCAAACACTTCTGCTCATCAAAAGACTTCACCAAAAGAGTTAAAAGACAACCTACAGACTGGGAGAAAACTTTTGGCTACGACAAATCTGATCAGCATCTAATCTCTAAAATCTACAAGATACTGCAAAACCTCAACAAAAAAAGACAAATAACCCAATTAAAAAATTGGCAAAGGATATGAACAGGAACTTCATCAAAGAAGACATTCAGGCAGCTAACAGACACATGAGAAAATGCTCATGATCATTAACCATTAGAGAAATACAAATCAAAACTACAATGAGATACCAGGCTAGCATTAATCCAAAAAACACAAAATAATAAATGTTGGAGAGGTTGTGGAGAGACTGGACCAGTTATACACTGTTGGTAGGAATGCAAAATGGTACATCCACTTTGGAAATCAATTTGGTGCTTCCTTAAAAAGCTAGAAATAGACATCATACAATCCTCAGTCCCACTCCTTGGAATATATCCTAGAGAAATAAGAGCCATTACATGAATAGATATATGCACACCCATGTTCACTGCAGCACTGTTCACAATAGCAAAAAGATGGAAACAACCTAGTTGCCCATCAATGGACTAATGGATAAACAAATTATGGAATATTCACACAGTGGAATACTACGCAACGATAAAGAACAATGATGAATCCATGAAACATAACGTGGAGGAATCTGGAAGGCAGTATGCTGAGCAAATTTAGTCAGTTGCAAAAGGACAAATTTTGTGTAAGACCACTATTATAAGAATTCAAGAAATGTTTAAACACAGAAGAAAACATTCTGTGATGGTTATGAGGGTGGGGAGGGAAGGAGAGGGGGTATTCACTGACTGGATAGCAGACAAGAATTATCTTAGGTGAAGGGAAGGACAACACACACAACAGGGGAAGTCAGTACAACTGGACTAAACCAAAAGCTAAGAAGTTTCCTGAATACAACAAAATGCTTGGAGGGACAGAGTAGCAGGGGCCTGGGGACCATGCTTTCAGGTGACATCTATGTCAACTGGCATAACAAAGTTTATTAAGATAATGTTCTGCATTCCACTTTGGTGAGTGGTGTGTGGGGTCTTAAAAGCTAGCGTGTGGCCAGCTAAGATGCATCAATTGGTCCCAACCCACCTGGAGCAAAGGAGAATGAAGAACACCAAAGACACAAGGGAAATATTAGCCCAAGAGACAGAAAGGGCCACATAA